GAACCACTGCCTTAGTCATCTTACCACCTAACTCAAGGGGGAGGAACATGTAGCCTTGCAGATATTGTTAGACTGCAACTCCCATCATTCTTTATCATTGGCTATGCTGTCTAAGGTTTTTGGAGTTGTCATCCAGTGTCATATTGAAGGCTGCCTACTTCTCATATGGATCTTTAGTCATTATTACGTATATTCAGTCGACTTTAAGTGAACAATATTGTATAGGATATTAAAGCCTAACACTCCCCCACCCTTGCAATGATAAAGTGTCCTTTTGTCATATCCCCCCCTCCCTTTGGGATTGATACAGTTTTGTAACAGAGCCAGAGTTTTCACCAGAAAGCTTTGTTTGCTTTTTCTGGGTTGAATTTCCTCTCCTCCCTTTACTTTCAGTTCTAAAGAAAAAGGTTGAATTTCTGCCCTGTTTGCTATAAACAGCGGCACTTGTAAATGACATTAGATATTTTCCCTCTTAATTTAGATGAGAATCTTGGTTTGCTTTCCCAGAAGCGGTGGCTTGCGCAAGATGGGAAACGAAAGGCCAGAAAAAGCCACTTCTCCAAATGCCAGGTGGTTCAGCTTATGTTAGTCTTAACCCTCTTTTGCCTGAATTAGGGGACCTTTAGAAATACATTGATTATATTGTGCTTCTTCTTATTGTGTGTGCACCTGTGTTTTTTTTAAATGCAACACTTAATAGTTTCCCTGGCAACTCACAAAGACACAAAATAAAATGCAAAATAAAAATCTAACCCCCTCCCCAGCCATGATAAAAACTAAGCAGAAGATAGAAGCAGTGCAAAACTACTGTTAGAAAATCAACTCATTAGAGATGTAATTTGGAGAAAAGCTTTGTAAATATAGATTGCTAAAGAAACCAATAAATGGGCACTCAAGCAAATCAAACCTAACTCTCTCTAGAAATCAAGAAGACTAAACTGAGGCTGTCATACTTTGTCCATATTGTGAGGAGAGATGATTCGCTAAAAAAAGCAACAATCCCCAATAAAGTAAAAGGCAGTAGCATCATAGGATCATAGAGTAGGAAGAGCCTTTTGGGCCATCCAATCCAACCCCCTGCCGAAAAGAGGAAAATCGCATTTGAAACACTCCCGACAGATGGCCATCCAGTCTTTGCTTAAAAGCCTCCAAAGAAGGAACCTCCACCACACTCTGGGGCAGAGAGTTCCACTGCTGAACAGCTCTCACAGAAGCCATTGTTCCGCATCCTAGCCTCCAGGGCAGCAGAAAGCAAGTTTGCTCCCTCCTCCCTATATTTATACATGGCCCTCATCATGTCTCCTCTCAGCCTTCTTTTTTTCAGGCTAAACATGCCCAGCTCTTTAAGCTGCTCCTCATAGGGCTTGTTCTCCAGACCCTTGATCATTTTAGTCATCCTCCTCTGGACACATTGCAGCTTGTCAACATCTCCCTTAAATTGTGGAAGACTGCATTTCAGATAGATAGACACTAAGGGTAGCAATGGATCTGAGTCTACAAGATCTAAGCTATTGATAACACTCTATGTAGCACAAATTTTGTTGTATTGTCGAATGCTTTTTTGTTCCTGGGTTATAAATGTCATTTCCTAATTGGTTGTATCATAAAAACTGCTAAAGAAACCAATAAAGGGGTACTAGGGCAAATCAAGCCTTACTCTCCCTAGAAATCAAGAAGACTAAACTGATGGTGTTGTACTTTGGGCATATTGTGAGGGAAAGTTTATTAAATTGTAAAAACGTACAACTTCAAAGTAAGTACAATGCAATTGAATAGGAAATAAGACCTTCAAACCAGAAACAGAACAATTTTCAAATTTTGTTACATTGTGTAGGAAGTCTTTGAGGGCTCTCATTCACAGACTCACCAGAAAATGTCATGAAGACAGTAAACAACTAAGATTAAAATACCTGCAGCAATTATTAAGCAGAATGAACCCAGGGTAGACCAGGATAGGGAGCGTGTACCATGATCTGAGCACTGACTCTCAGAGTAACTTCAGTCTTTGTGTTGGCTCACGTTGAGGAAGGCAAACACTGAGGGTTGCTTTGGCATCTAATCACCCTGAATTGGTTTAGCAAGGAATGTGAGAGGTTCAACTAGACAGACCAGTCAGATTTGGGATGAAATGCCTGTAATATTAATCCTGAACATTTTGTGGAGCACCTGAGGATGCAATCTATTGCTTCTTCTTCTTCTTCTTCTTCTTCTTCTTCTTCTTCTTCTTCTTCTTCTTCTTCTTCTTCTTCTCCTTCTCCTTCTCCTTCTCCTTCTCCTTCTCCTTCTCCTTCTCCTTCTCCTTCTCCTTCTTCTTCTTCTTCGAAACACAACAAGATGAGTCCACAGCAGACACTCTGCTGGCTGTTGTATTGTGTCTAGGACTGTGTGATGTATCCCAGTAATGTGTTCTTCTGCAGCTGGCAGATGGTAATTTTGTCAGCGCCGATTGTGTTTAAGTGCAGGTCAAGGTCTTTAGGCACTGCACCCAGTGTGCCAATCACCACTGGGACCACCTTTACTAGTTTGTGCCAGAGTCTTTGCAGTTCGATCTTTAAATCCTCATATCGTGTCAGCTTTTCCAGTTATTATTATTATTGTTATTATTATTAATGAGTTGAGATGGCAGGAGGGTAGATTTTGATTCCAGGTGAGCAGCGGAACCAATTATATTAAAATCAGTCCTCCACATTCACTGAGGTCCATGATGTAGGATTGCATGAAAGTGGAAAAACTGTGAATAAAAACCCCTACTATTTTTTATCTGAGAAAACATCACTCTAGGAGTCTTTTGATCATCTAGTGGAACTCTATAGTCAAGTACTTCCAAAGATTTGTACTGCAGGACGTACAAATGCCGAGAGAATTTTTTTCCTTTAGGAATCTCTAGATCCTCCAGAACAGCTCCATGGCTCTTGGATGGATATTCTGCAAATAGTCAAATCTGCTAAAGTGAACCCGCAAATGTAGAAGGCTGACTGGGTTTTTTTGGTATATGTTGTATTGTCCTACTACCAGTGAACTTAGCTCTTGAGCTATTGACTGTTGATCAGTCAATAGATCCAGATTAATGGAGCTGTGAATGCATTCCAGGTTATCAGTAGCTTTACAGGAGCTATCCAAGTGCTGAACCTATTTAGGCAAGGAGTTTAGCACCTTGGAAAGCTCCTTTAAAGCCTGGATAAGTAGCTTCACTGCACTAATGACATGTGAGCTACCAGCTGCCCTTGCTGCAGATTTAATTTTCTGCTGACAACTCCCAACATGACTACCCAGGATAGCCAATTATGGACATTACAGACCCAAAGCATAAGAGGATGGCCACAAGCTGGATGGAAATAGTTTTTTTAAGTATGCAGTTTGGCATGACGATTTTTATTTTATTGGTGAGTTCCAACCGTAGCATAGTTAGTCTCCCTTATCCATTGAGTCCACATCCATGGATTTAATCTGCCATGGTTGGAAATATTCTGAGAAAACTACAAAAACAGGAAACCTTGCCATTTTAGATAAGGGATGCCATTTTACTACATCACTGTACATTATGAGACCTGAGCCTCCCCAGCTTTTGGGATCCATTGAGGTCTGGAATTAAAGTCCAGAGGATATCAAGGTCCCACTGTAGATGCACTATGGATACAGTGTGAACCCATCACACTAGAGAATGAATCCACTTTTGAGCCGGTTTCTTCCTCCTGCAGAATTCTGGGGTTTGTAGTTTAGGGAGGAGCCTTTAACAGTCTCACTAAACTACAAATCCCAGAATTCTTAATGCGACAGAAACTGGATTTAAAGTGGATTCATGCTCTAGTGAAACCTAGGCCTGGGAGCTGGATGTAGCCCCTTGGGCTCTTTTCTCAGGCCCTTCTCTCTCACACCATCCTATCTTATCTTTCCTTCCTTCTCTCTTTCTTTCATCCTTACTTCCCTCTTTCTCCTTCCTTTTCACCCTTTTGTCCTTCCTTCCTTCCCTCTCTCTCCTTCCTTTCTTCCTTCCCTTTTGACTTTCCTTCCCTCTCTTTCCTCCCTCCCCTCCCTCTTTCTCTTTCCCTCCATTTCCTTCCACTCTTTTSTCTTTCCTTCCTTCCCTCTGTCCTYCCTCACTCCCCCTTCCTTCTTTCCTTCCGTCCTTCCTCCTTCCTTCCTTCCTTCCTTCCTTCCTTCCTTCCTTCCTTCCTTCCTTCCTTTTTCTTTCCTTCCTGCTCTCTTTCCTTTATCCCTCCCTCCCTTCCAGCCTTCTCTTCCTCCCTTCCTTCTTTTTCCTTCCTCCTTCATCCATCCTTCCCTTTTGTCTTTCCTTCCTTCCCTCTTCCTTCCTTCCTTACCTCCTTCCCTCCCTCCCTTCCTTCCCTCCCTCCCTCCATCCATCACTGGGCAGCCAGTCCTCCTAGAATRCAGCCTACAAGTTAGAAAGTTTGCCTGTGCCTGTTCTAGTGTCATGAAGTAGCAGTAGGTTCAGTATGACGAATTAATAGGTTGGCCTGCATTTCAGTGAATCTGTTCTATTTCGAACTAACAATAAGATTCAGACCAAAACTTACAGCAGGGGGATATTGTGCAGTTGAAAAGTAGTTAGAGCTAAAATTGGAAATAATATGGGGGAAAATTAGACCTGTCTTTTGCATACCTTCCATTGTTTTCACTGTATGTGGGATATTAAGAACTACTAGGTCTCCTGTGGAGGAACTGCCACACTGACAGTATGTAAACAAAGAGGAGAGCACACTATGTCTTTGCTTTTTTTGTCTTTTTTTTTCAAAAGGCTGTATGAGATGATGTCTGACTGTGCTTTTTCTGCAATTGGGAAACCTGCCTTTTAAATGTTTTCCAGCTGTTTTGCTCTTGTCCCTGCAAGCCTTCCTTTCACCCTGCAAGACTTTCGTTCCTTACTATGTGAGACTTTGCCGTTTCCCGTTTGTAGATCTGCACACCAAGGGAGAAGCAGCAAAATCCAATGATGCCCCACCCATGAAAGCTGAGTCACCCGGAGTATTACAGATGGAGGGGTTGACCTGGGACTTCCCCTCTCCCCTTCTCTTCAAAACCTTCTTACTCTTGGCCATTTCTGCTCAGTCCTCTGCCTTTGCTTCAGAGGCCACCATGGAGATCCCTTGGATGAGTCAATTCCCACTGTTCCTGCTGGTGGTTTGGGGATTTGGGGGTCTGGAAGCTCCTGCAGGTAAAGGGAACTGGGTGCTGGGAAGAAGAAGGATGTGGAATTGCCACATTTTTCTATTGCCTTTAGTGCAGGCGATAGAAGTGCCACACTGCACTCATCTCCCTCCAGGAGAAAAAAAGAGTGACTGGCTTGATTTCAATGTGCTGGTAGCTCTTAAAGACAAATAAGCACAGGGACAATTTTTCTAAGCAGCATTGGATTAGGTTTCCACTTTTTAATTTCCATAGGACTGCTGCGATTTCTTAGATCTGCACACCAATGATGTTTGCAACAAAGATTGTTTTCACCCCAGAACACAGAATAAGGAATGCTTTCCCTGTTGGGTTTTTACCTTCTTACCAATGTTAAGCATAGACCCCGCTACAGGAGAAGTTGGAGTGATTTTTAAGTTATTTGCAGAGGTTGTTGGTAGTTGAAACTGCACAAGAGGCTTCACAGTTTTAAAATCCAGCGTGAAAGGTATTTGCATGCAATCTCAGATGTCAGAGCTGAATATTATGAAGGTCAACTATTATGTGATCAGAGATTCTCACGGGTGTGGAATGTATGTATTGCTGCTTTCTAATTTGCCCATTAGGAGAGCATGGGCGCCGATGTCTTTTCGGAAGAGGCTTGCTGCTGCCAGGGAAGGCCAATGTAGAGTGACCCCTTATAATGAAGGACATTTATTTCCAACTGTTACATGTCATTATTCATATAATTCAAGAGGCGTGATGTGATGGTAGCAATTAGAGTCGTGCACTGGGACTTGGAAGATCCTGCTTGAACTCCACAGTTAGCCATGATATTCACGGGGTAGCTTGGGTCCAGTAAGCATCTAACAAGAAGGCCTATCTTGCAAGATTGTTGTGAGGATAAAATATAAAAGGAAGAGAGCAATGTAAGCCTTGAGATCATTGGAAGAAAGGAGGGATAAAAAAGGTTGAATGGCCTTTATGCAAAGTGCTGGGGATCAAAGGAGAGCCGTTCAGCAGTGGAACTCTCTGCCCTAGAGTGTGGTGGAGGCTCCTTCTTTGGAAGCTTTTAAACAGAGGCTGGATGGCCATCTGTCAGGGGTGATTTGAATGCAACATTCCTGCTTCTTGGCAGGGGGTTGGACTGGATGGCCCATGAGGTCTCTTCCAACTCTTTGATTCTATGATTCTATGGTGTTTTGGATTTTCCCCCAGAATATTTGTTCACACACACACACACACACACACTATATATATATATTCGAGTATAAGCCCACCTGAATGTAAGTCGAGACATCTAATTTTACCACACAAAACTGGAAAAACGTATTGACGTGAATATAAGTAGAGGGTGGGAAATGCAGCAGCTACTGGTAAATTTCAAAATAAAAATAGATACCAATAGATTTACATGAATTGAGGCATCAGTAAATTAAATGTTTTTGAATATTTACATAAAACTGTAATTTAAGATAAGACTGTCCAATTCTGGTTAAACCATTATTCTAAAATTCTTCAATGTAAATGTGCTTATGTATCCTTCCAATAATAATAAAGAGAGTAAAATAATGGAAATGTAATAACAACAGTAATAATAAAGTAAAATAATAAATGTAATAATAATAAAGTAAAATGATAAATGTAATAATAAATAGCGTAAAATAATAAATGTAATAATAACAATAATATAGAGATAAAATGATAAATGTAATAATAACAATAATAAAATAAAATAATAAATGTAATAATAATAGTGTAAAATAATAAATGTAATAATAATAGAGTAAAATAATGTAAATATAATAATAAACGCAGTAAAATAATAAATCTAATAAAATAATAATAATAATAATAATAATAATAGAGTAAAACAATAAATAACCTTAACTTAAGACGAGAGGGGCTTTTTCAGCTTGAAAAAAGGGCTGAAAAACTTAGCTTATACTCAAGTATACAGTGTGTGTGTGTGTGTGTGTCTGTATGAGGTATCTTGGAGATGGAACCCAAGTAGAACCAAGTAGAACCATTTGTTTATGCTTCACAAACATCTTATCCACATATCCTAACGTAATTTTATACAACAGTGAAACAATGCTTGTGTACAGTGAATAATGAGAGAGCCAAGGTGCCACTGTCTCAGCCACCCATGTGGACAATTTGGAGTATTTGAGGTTTCACAATTCCAGATAAGGGATGCTCAACCGGTTTACAAAATTAGAATTAAATAATAAAGCTAGTATAGCACAAGGCACGTGGGACCTGCAAGGAAATGTTTCTGTGTCAAATGCTTATTTTCAGGACATCCTAATGCACTGGTAACTCTCAGGTTTCTGAACATGCTCAGATATTCTTGATGATTTTGGCGGAAGCTCGGATTATAAGGTGTCCCCCCCACCCCCCGCCCAAGCCTCTTTTTGGCACATTTATGGAACATTTTTGTGTACATAAGCAATGGTGCTTACTTCTGTAAAGTGGAAATGTATGAAACACGCACCCTTTGGCAAACAAATTCTCCTTTCCGAGAGAGATAATATAACAAACTACAAAAAGAAATCACACATAAGTTATTCCTCAAAGCAAGATAAAAGAGAAAGGGGTTTTCCCATCTTCAAAAAGCCAGGAGAGATAAAGCAATATGCAAATCTCTTGATAGTTACTCTGATGGGATCGGGTTTGTTACTAAAAGGTCCTTGCTCTTGATAAATACCAATCTAGCCTCCCTATATACGTACAGTTCTCATTTATACTTTATCCTAACAAGAACATCTGTGTTTGAGAAAAAAGGAGAAGGGGAAAGATAGAGACTGGGTCACACAGAGAGATTCATGGCTTGATGAGGCTTCACTTTAGGTTTCACAAATCCAAAGTCCTCCTCTTAACATATCCTCTCCATATCAGATATTTACATGACGATTCATAACAGTAGAAAAATTACAGTTATGAAGTAGCAATGAAAATAATTTTATGGTTGGGTGAGGAACTGTATTAAGGGGTCGCAGCATTAGGAAGGTTGAGAAACACTGCTCTAAAGCTTCTCTTGTCATTTCATGATTTTTCTGTTGGAAATGTCAACCTTATACAAGTCTCCTATACTAGTTATTTGTTATGTATATAATTCAGATCGCTTACTATATTGTATATGTGTATATTGGTATGCGGTTTTCCTTAACCCTATGTTGTGGGAGGGGCTGCAGACCATGTGACCAGATCTGGGACTCTTCAGATCTAAGACTCCATTTTGGAAAGACAGAGACTCCATTAGACTCTCAGAACAGAAAGTTGCTTTAGACTTTGGACAGTTAAGATTTGAAGAAGGATGCCCTGTGCCGTCTGCACAGAGAAACTACTTCAAATCCTATACAGATTTGAAGTAGACTGGACTAATATGTAATGTACCTGTATGCTGAATACATTAAATTTGTGAGCAAACCAACTTTGTTATTTTAACGAAGACTATTTTCTTTTTGGTCTCTTGAGAGCATGATGTAAACCAAGATGTTTTAAAGGAGAGTAGATTTTTTTTAACACTGAAAGAAACACTTCTGAAACTCTGCTGTTTTTTGTGCATTAGCATATCTTTGTTCCTAGCAGTTCAAAGAGATATCTAGGTATAACAGTCTAACAGCTGAGAAACCTAATTGCTTTGCATGAATACTAGTGGATATTTACCACCAAGGAGAAGGTTGACTCAAGTGAGTTTTTAACTCTTCTCAGGAAGATCATACTTTATAAAAGGTTACAATCTCTAACAAGGTCATGCCTTTCCAAAAGATTCCTGGTTTTCCCAAAAGATTATGAATGTCATTCTCCAAAAGTTTATTTCCTATTGGAATTTTAAATCTTGTTAACTGTATATACAGTTTTGGGGGGAGAAATCCTCAAAATAAATCCAGTTCAAAGTTTTTGAAGGTTTATAACACACATATGCACACACATATGTCTCTCTCTGCATATAAAACATGTAATACATTCAAAAGGAAATACTTGCTATTCTGTTAGTTGTTTTCTTTCAGTTGTTTGTGCTTTTTCCAGAGGCACAGGACGTTCACTGCTACGAAGCTTTTGATGAAGCCACAGGCTCTTGCCGCAGTCTCCTTGGTACCGGAGTAGCCACACAAGACTGCTGCCTGAATCGTGCATATGGATTCCAGGCGGGAGAAGGTGCACCTTGCCGGGCTTGTCGGTGAGTTAAGTACAGGCACACTATGTGTCCCACCATTGCTGTCTACTCAAGAACTTAGCTCTCTCTTGCCCGAGATCCCCACCCATCACCCATTTGTTGCCTCCAGTGACTGTTTCACTCACTTTTAAAAAGTCACAACAACTGGAAGAGACGCACTGCTTTGGAGGTTGCTTAATTCAGCAATTCCTTTCTGGAAGAGGGAAAAAGACTAGCAGATTCTGAGAGTCAAAGTCCAAGAAAGTACAGTCCTCCTTCCATAATTCTGGCTTGGACTTTCATAGATTTGAGCATTCATGGATGTGATTAAATGCTCCCTGGGTATCTCTAATCATGTTGGAAGACTTAGGCCCTATCTACACTGACCGTTTAATGCAATCCAACAAGTAAATCCCACAAAAGCACATGAAAGAAAGCCCTTAATGCTCACCATCCGGGCCTCAAACTGGTTCCAGGATTTCCTATGTAATCATTTGCACAGCAAAACCACTAACTTCAATGCTGGTATAAAAATGCATTAAATGGTCAGATGGGGCCCTAGCAAATACCTCTTGAAGAATTTCTACATCCACCAATGCTATTCTGTAGTCTCCTTCTAGTGGGAGTTGACCATTGTGTGTTGCTGAAAGATATAGAAATTCCTAGAGAGAGATTTTAAAATCTGAAGTTTTTAACTTTCATGGGAGTCATATGCCTCCTAACGCCAGAGGGCTGACTGTAATGTTTCTATTCCCCGCTACAGCGTTGTGACCACTGCTCCCTACTCATCCCTCACATCATCGTCATCCCCATGATTATTACTATCCCACTTTTTCTCGCAAAAAGAGCCCCAAAGTGGCTAACAATACTGTTTCACAGCCAGCCTATTGAAGAAAATGGGAGAACTTGTATATTTTTGTTATCCCTTATGAGAGCCTTTGCTGGTCATGGATTTTGGAATTTTGCTAACCGATTAGTATGGATTCCTTCTAACGTTAGATCTGCTGATGGGAATAGTTCATCTTTTCTTTAAATATATATATATATCCATCAACTTTTTTGATGTGCAAATATTTCTTGCAAGGTTTGTTTACCTGCAGGCCTAAATAGAATGAGGTTTTCATACCTTCTTATCTAGACCTTAGGAGCCCCCGGTGGAGCAATGGGTTAAACCTTTGTGCCGGAAGGACTGCTGACCAAAAGGTCAGTGTTTTGAATCCAGGGAGTGTTATTAGTTCCTGTCTGTCAGCTCCAGCTTCTCGTGTGGGGACAAAAGAGAAGCCTCCTACAGGATGGTAAAATATCCGGGTGTCCCCTGGGCAATGTCCTTGCAGATGGCCAATTCTCTCACACCAGAAGTGACTTGCAGTTTCTCAAGTTGCTCCTGACATGAAAAAAAAATCTAGACCTTGGGGAAAACAGTTTACACAACTCCTAAAATTGCTGGTAGTATGCAATCCAAAAAGGTGTCTGGGTTTGACATGTAGGGAAGCAACTTAGTATAGATCACCTTTGCTCTCACAGTGCTTACATAGTTTCCCAAAGTTCTGGGAAATGTTGGGTATTCTTTCTTGGGATTTCATACTTTGTCATGGTGGTTTCCAAGGGCCCTAAATCTCTAAAGGCACCAGACTTCACCTGAATCTGGACACTGGCTCTCAAGTCCAGCTATAAGTCCAAGACTTTGAACAAGAATGGAGGACCTCTCTGTCTTGTTGCTTTCTTGTGGTATGGCAATCTTGGGGAATTTATAATGATTTTGAGTAAGGGTAGGGGTGGGGGACAAATTCTCTTCCAGCCAACCTTTGACAATTCTTCTCCACCCTTTCCACAGCTCAGCACATTGGAGTGAATGGTCTCCTTGGGGGCCCTGTTCTGTGTCCTGCATGGAGGGGATCCAGCGGCGCAAACGGACCTGCCACGGATGGAACAAAGGCACCTGTACGGAGGGCTCACACGAGTGGGAAGCACGTTCATGCACCCCACGGGAGTGTTGTCCCGGTGAGTACAACTATGCTTTGTGCTTGTGTAACTAGTTCTTTGCTCGTGGAGGGAAGCCACGCGTAACAATGGTTACTGGGGAATTTGAGCATTGCACTTAACAAAAAAACACCAGTTCCCTAAATCTCTGCACTGAAATCCCATTGATTTCCTAATCTTTGGTCAGGACCTGGTTTCTTTATGGTATGAGAGTTTGCAAGCCAGATGTACATTCTGTCAAGCCAAGTGCTGGATTAACTGCCAGTGACAGGGCGTGGAAATAAAAAAGCAACTTTCCCAAGCTTGGGGTTATCCTATACCACTCCTCTAAAATTTCTCTGTGATGCACCAATATTACCAAATTGGTAGTTAAATTACCTTTAACTACTGAGGTGGTGCAGTGGGTTAAACTGCTGAGCTGCTGAACTTGCTGGCTGGCCGAAAAGTCGGTGGTTCAAATCCGGAGAGTGGAGTGAGCGCCCGCTGTTAGCTCCAGCTTCTGCCAACCTAGCAGTTCAAAAACATACAAATGTGAGTCGATTAATAGGTACCGCTCCAGTGCGAAAGTAATGGCACTCCATGAGTCATGCCAGCCACATGACCTTGGAGGTACCTATGGACAAAGCCAGTTCTTCAGCTTAGAAATGGAGGTGAGCACCACCCCCCAGAGTCAGACATTAATAGACTTAATGTCAAGGGAAAACCTTTACCTTTACTTACCTTTACAGACAGGCAAACTGAAATTGTCCCTAACTGAGCAATGGTAGGATGAGATGCCCTGGATGCACAATCTTATTTCATGTAGATATTTTCTCTGTGGCTCATCTAAATTCAAATTTGTTGCTCACCTAAGTTAAATATGTCAAATTTCTCAATGTTATGGGGAGAGAGGCAGTCTTCCATAGTGCCAAAAACTCGCTCAGTAGGAGGAGTACTACTCAGTCTTACTTCTATGGCTGTAAGCAACTCCCTCCAGTGGAAGTACTTCAAGGGATACTAGCTGTGGAGATTTACCATTTCCTTTCTGGTAAATGAGAAACTGTTTTTTTGTAGTGTTGTCAGTATAGAGCACTACACAAAATCACTACTCATTATAGAAACCTAGTTGGTGACCCTGACGTGTCACACTCTCTCAACCTCAGAGGAAGGCAATCTCAACCTTGCTCTTAAATCTTGCTGAGAAAACTCATGATAAGGGCACCTCTTAAAGGTAAAGGTAAAGTTTCCCCCTGACATTAAGTCTAGTCATGTCTGACTCTGAAGGGTGGTGCTCATCTCCATTTCTAAGCCAAAGAGCCGGCATTGTCCATAGATACCTCCAAGGTGATGTGGCCAGCATGACTGCATAGAGTGCCATTACCTTCCCACCTATTGATCTACTCACATTCACATGTTTTCAAACTGCTAGGTTGGCAGAAGCAGGGGCTAACAGCAGGAGCTCACCCCACTTCCCAGATTCAAACTGCCAAACTGAATTCAGCAAATTCAGCAGCTCAGTGGTTTAACCTGCTGCACTACCGGAGGCTCCCTTAAGGATGCCTCTTAGCCACCGTAAATTGGAAACCCCTTGTAGGCACACGACAAAAGCAAAAATGATTTGCATTAGAACAAGGAGAACAACTTGTGCTTAATTAAAGTGTAATAGGCATATTTACAATTGCCATAATTAAAAAGTAGCTAGATCCAGTTCATTATCTGAGCAGTTCCCTCCAATTTGAATACTCAGTTGTTTTGTTCATGATGATGGTAGCTCTGTTTATATGTAAAGCTGGGATCACGTGTGATTTCCAGTGTTTGGATTTTTGTACCCACTGAACCTCTGGATTTCCCCCTTCTTCTGCCACTCTAATCCACATTGCTTTGACTTCAATAGATGAGCCAGATCTCCAGCTTTCATCTCTTCTAATAGCCACAGCTCTCTGTCTTTTCAATAAATGAGCTAAATCCGTAGGTTTCATCTTCAGTAAATAGCGCTGGCACTTGCCTTCCCCTCCTCTCTTTTTTTCTTTTGATGAAAGATGGTTGGATTTTGAAAAGCTGAGCTAAGTCTACACACATTTATTTGAGCATATTATGGGCTCATATTACTTGCTGATTAGAGAAACCAAGATGACTGATCCTCCTTAGATGAGAGAGCAATAAGCAGCAGATGAAGTCAACGGCAGCGTGAATCTGTCCTAGGTTTGAGCATGAGCTTTTCATGAACTATCCAAACCACTGAATCTGCTCCATCCAAATATGGCAAACCTTTTTGAAAACTCCTTTAAACTCTGAACTAAAACCCAAACTAGATTCAGCAATCTCCTGGCATGGAAGCCACCAGCTGCACCAGGAATGGTTGATGGTATTATTATTATTATTATTATTATTATTATTATTATTATTATTATGGTTGTTGTATTGGATCACACATCGGACACTTCCCAAGTGTCTATGTGAAGTATTGGCAAATAATGCGTGCATATCCCAGTAGGGTGGCCTTTTGCAGCTGAGAGATAGTAATTTTGTCAGCGTTGATTGTGTTTAAGTGCAGGCCAAGGTCTTTAGGCACTGCACCCAGTGTGTCGATCACCACTGGGACCACCTTGACTGGCTTGTGCCAGGGTCTTTGCAATTCGATCTTTGAATCCTCGTATTGTGTCAGCTTTTCCAGTTGTTTCTCTCCAATCCTGCTGTCATGTGGGATTGCAACATTGACAATCCATCCATGATTGTGAGGTCAGGAGTATTGTGCTCCAAAACTCTGTCTGTCTGAATTCGGAAGTCCCAGAGTAGCTTGTATAATTATAATTATTATTATAATTTATTATTTCGGGCATTTCTGTCTCATCCTTCTCACCTCCAAAGAGGGACTCAGGATGGCTTATAGGAGGTAGTCATTAGATGCAAAAAAACAATACATTAAAACACACAGTTACGGTTAACACAATTAGAACAATAATAAGAGTTCCACTTTTGAAGGCACACAATTATTATTGTACGCCTTCAGATAATTTCAGACTTACAGTGACTCTAAGGCAAACCTATCACAGGGGGTTCTTGGCTCAATTTGTTTGCAAGAGATTTGCCTTTGCCTTTCTCTGAGGTTGACTTACCCAAGGTCATGCTTGAGCAAGGATTTGAACCCTTGTCTCTGGAGTGATAGTAACAATGAGGTGGGGAGGGGGGAGAAAGGGAATGGAGGAAGTTGGCAAGAAAAAACTCCAACAAACCAAACAACCATTAATGAAACAGAAATTAAGACCTTGGATTTAGACTGCGGCATGGAGGAGGGGAGGTGTTCCACTAGCCGAGGGGCCCCCATAGAAGTCGTGGTGGGGAGGGGGAGATGCGGGAAAAGGAGACCACAAATTCGGCCTAATTCGGATCGCCTATCTACATTAATAATTCCAAACCGGTCTCCTATGGTAAATTGGTGTAACCAGGTTGGCGGTCCCTCCGGATTGAAGGTGGTGCTGTTGAACGCCAGATCTGTCAACGGAAAAACGACCTTTATCCAGGACTTAATCCTGGATGAGCGGGCAGATCTGGCGTGCATCACGGAGACCTGGTTGGATGAAGCTGGAGGCGTAAATCTAACCCAGCTTTGTCCTCCAGGCTACTCTATGCAGCACCAACCAAGATCCGAAGGGCGGGGAGGCGGGGTCGCAGTGGTCTATAGAGATTCCATCCATCTGACCAGGAGTCCCATCCCGCAGTCAACAAATTTTGAATGCGTCCACCTGAGGGTGGGTGACCGGGACAGAATAGGGATTCTGTTAGTGTACCGGCCACCTCGCTGCACTACAGTCTCCCTACCTGAGCTAGCGGGGGTAGTCTCGAGCCTGGCGTTGGAGTCTCAACGGCTTCTCGTGCTGGGAGACTTCAATATCCATGCCGAGGCGACCCTCACAGGAGCAGCTCAGGACTTCATGTCTGCCATGGCAACCATGGGGCTGTCCCAACAAATATCTGGCCCCACCCACTGTGCTGGACATACATTGGACTTGGTTTTCTGCCAGGGATGGGAGCAAGGTGGCGGTGTGGAGGAGTTGTCCATCTCTCCGTTGCCATGGACCGACCACTTCCTGGTCAGATTTAGGCTCACTGCGCCCCCTAACCTCTGCAAAGGTGGAGGACCCATTAAGATGGTCCGCCCCAGGAGGCTTATGGATCTGAATGGATTCCTGACGGCTCTTGGGGATTTTCCCGCCACCTCGGTAGGTGACCATGTCGAGGCCTTGGTCGCTCTCTGGAATGGGGAGATGGCCAGGGCAATTGACACGATCGCTCCAGAACGTCCCCTCTCAAGTAGCCGAGCTAAACCAGCCCCTTGGTTTACTGAGGAGCTGGCAGCGTTGAAGCGAAGGAAGAGGGAACTAGAGAGCGTGTGGCGTTCGGATCCGAGCGAGCCAAATCGAACACGGTTTGTGTCCTTTCTAAGGGCATATGCCGCGGCAATAAAAGCCGCAAAGAAAACTTTCTTTGCGGCTACTATTGCGTCTGCAAGGAACCGTCCGGCGGAGTTGTTCCGGATTGTCAGAGGTCTTTTAACTCCCGCCACCTCAGGCGGGAGCCCTGACAATTCGGTCACGCGCTGTGAAGCATTTGCTCGGTTCTTTGCAGACAAAGTCACTTTGATCCGTTCTGGTCTGGACACCATGTTAAATGCAGTCTCTGAGGATGTGACACGAGCACCTGCTTGTCCTATTTTGATGGATTCTTTTCAATTTGTGAAGCCCGAGGATGTGGACAAGATACTTGGAGGAATGAGGCCCACTACGTCCATCCTAGACCCCTGCCCATCCTGGCTTCTGAAGGAGGCCAGAGGGGGATTGGCTGAGTGGGTAACGGTGGTGGTTAACGCCTCCCTTCGGGAAGGCAAGATTCCAGCGAGCTTAAAACAAGCTATTATAAAACCGCTGTTAAAGAAACCATCACTGGACCCCACTAAATTTGACAACTTTCGGCCTGTTTCCAATCTCCCCTTTTTGGGCAAAGTCATGGAAAGCGTGGTGGCCTCACAACTCCAGGTATTCTTGAGAGACACGGATTATCTGGATTCGGCACAGTCTGGTTTCAGACCGGGACACGGAACTGAGACGGTCTTGGTCGCCTTAGTGGATGATCTGCGCCGGGAGCTAGACAGGGGGAGTGTGTCCCTGTTGGTGCTTCTGGACCTCTCAGCGGCCTTCGATACCGTCGACCACGGTATCCTTCTGGGGCGCCTTGCGGAGATGGGTCTTGGGGGCACTGCTTTGCAGTGGCTCCAGTCATTTCTGGAGGGTCGCACCCAGAAGGTGTTAGTGGGGGACTCCTGTTCAACGCCACAGCCTTTGACTTGTGGAGTTCCACAGGGCTCTATACTGTCCCCCATGCTGTTTAATATCTACATGAAGCCGCTGGGTGAGATCATCCGGAGTTTCGGGGTGCGGTGTCATCTGTACGCAGATGATGTCCAACTCTGTCACTCCTTCCCACCTGCTACTAAGGAGGCTGTCGAGGTCCTGAACCGGTGCCTGGCCGCTGTAATGGTCTGGATGAGGGCGAACAAACTGAAATTAAATCCAGACAAGACAGAGGTACTCCTGGTCAGTCGCAAGGCCGAACAGGGTATAGGGTTACAGCCTGTGCTGGATGGGGTCGCACTCCCCTTGAAGGCGCAGGTTCGCAGCTTGGGTGTGATCCTGGATTCATCGTTGAGCCTGGATCCCCAGGTTTCAGCGGTGACCAGGGGAGCATTTGCACAGCTCAGGCTCGTGCGCCAGCTGCGCCCGTACCTCGGGAAGTCTGACTTGGCCACGGTAGTACACGCTCTGGTCACATCCCGCCTTGACTACTGCAACGCTCTCTACGTGGGGCTGCCCTTGAAGACGGCCCGGAAGCTCCAGCTAGTCCAGCGCGCGGCAGCCATGTTACTAACAGGAGCGGGACGCAGGGAGCACACAACCCCCTTGTTGTTCCAGCTCCATTGGCTGCCGATCTGCTACCGGGCCCAATTCAAGGTGCTGGTGCTGGCCTACAAAGCCCTAAACGGTTCCGGCCCAAAATACCTGTCTGACCGCATCTCGGCCTATGAGCCCACGAGGACTTTGAGATCGTCTGGGGAGGCCCTTCTCTCGATCCCGCCTGCCTCACAGGCACGCCTGGCGGGGACGAGGGATAGGGCCTTCTCGGTGGTGGCCCCCCGGCTGTGGAACATCCTCCCTGTAGACATCAGACAGGCGCCCTCCCTTATGACATTCCGCAAGAGACTAAAGACGTGGTTGTTTGAGAAGGCGTTTGACTAAGTGCTACAACAATTGGCAATGATGATTGGAACGGAATATGGAAAACGAGATTGGATTGTGATTCTATGATGAGACGTCGCGAATGATTTAGTGTAATTGTATTATTAATAGTGATGTTGCTATTGTTGTTTGTGTAATTGCCTTATTGTAAATTGTTTTTTATATGTTGTACACCGCCGTGAGTCGCCCTAGGGCTGAGAACGGCGGTCTACAAGTGCAGTAAATAAATAAATAAATAAATAAATAGGCTCAGATAGGCACACCAGCCATACTGGGAAAGGCAAGATTCCACCTCCTCAGTGAATTAAGGAACTACTTTTGCAATTTGGACTCAGCTTGCAGCAACTGGCCTAATATTAGGAGAAAGGGAGAAAGTGGAAACTGAGACTAGACATTTTTCTCTGAAAACGTTGCAGAGGATTAAGTGACCGAAAGGTTGGTGGTTCGAATCCGGGGAGTGGGGTGAGCTCCCATCTGTCAGCTCCAGCTTCCATGTAGGGACATGAGAGGAGCCTCCCTCAAGATGGTAAAACATCCAGGCATCCTCTGGGCAACATCCTTGCAGATGGCAAATTCTCTCACACTGGAAGCGACTTGCAGTTTCTCAAGACACTCCTCTCTCTCTCACACACACAAATGGAACTCTCCTGCCAAGCTGGAGCTGTTGAAAACTATGCTTTTTTGAGTCACAACTCAGAAAACTTTGCCCCATCAGCCTAAACTCCAAACTCCAGGATTAATATATATCACAAAATTGTCTCTGTAAAACCGGCATTATTAAGCAATTCCTCTGAACTGCTGGTCTCTTACAAAGCCCTCAAATTCTTTGCCCCAAGACCTGCTTCCTTTGCCAAAGTACCATCTGTTCCGGTAGTTCCAAGCACTGCCTTTCATGCATGGCCGTGGGTGGAGCAAGGATGTCAATGTGTGCCTGAAACAGTAAGTTATAAAACCGCAGCCTGATAGGGAACAAAAGCATCTTTATTCTGCCCTATGTATGATCTTGTTTTTTCCATGTTCACTTCCTCTTCAAGGGGTTCTTCAGAACTCCCCATAAGGAAACGGCACCATCTGCCTCCTGATGGATGTGGAATGATCAATCGGTCCTTATCCCATGCTCCCACCCCATTTTAAAACAGATGTAAGCTATTGAGGCAATGAAAAGTAACATAACCCATCCCACGACGCAGGGGGAATTCCTGTCTGTGCCTGTCACAATTCAATAGTCAAATGTCATAAACAGTCCAAAAAAAGTGAGGAGGGAGAAGACCGTATTTTTTTATTTATTTACGACATTTCTATCCCACCTTTCTCAACCCTGGAGGGTACTAAAAGGCGGCTTTACACATACTAAATACCATGATTACGTACTGTTACCACCCCCCACCCCCCAATGGGATAAGGTTCTAGGTCTCGTTAGAGAAATAACCCTTCAAGCAAATTCTTAGGATGTTATTTTTCCCCATGCAGTGGATGGAGGCTGGACATCATGGAGTGCTTGGAGTCCTTGCTCCGTGACTTGCCTCAGAGGGTTTGAGACCAGGCAGCGGACCTGCACTAATCCAGCCCCAGTGTGTGGGGGCACCTGTCCAGGGAACAAGGAGGAAAGGCGGCCCTGTGACACCCGCCAAATCTGCCCAAGTAAGTTATGGGAAGGGCTTGCTTGCCTTCCTTTCTTTCTTCTTTCATTTGGACTATCACTCCCCCAATGGTGCAGTGGGTTAAACCACTGAGCTGATGAACTTGCTGACTGAAAGGTTGGTGGTTCAAATCTGGGGAGTGGGGTGAGCTCCTGCTGTTAGCCCCAGCTTCTGCAATCCTAGCAGTTTGAAAACATGCAGATGTGAGTAGATCAGTAGGTAACGCTTTGGCAGGAAGGTAAGCAGCACTCCATGCAGTCATGCTGGCCACATGACCTTGGAGGAGTCTATGGACAATGCTGGCTCTTTGGCTTAAAAATGGAAATGAGCACCACCTCCCAGAGTCGGACACAACTAGACTTAATGTCAAGGGGAAACCTTTATCTTTTACCTCCTGCACATATCCGGCCACTATGGCCAATTGGCATCTGGGTATGGTAGTCCCCAAAAGATGAACTTTATCAATCTCTGCACTGTGTTGAGTTGATGGCTTGATGGGAATATGGTTGGAAAGTGGTGGCAGAGAAAACGATTGGTGATTAAAGAGAGAAAGGTGGTATATAAGGCTACATTTCAGAGTACAGATTATACTATATGGCATAGATGAAAAATATATAATTTATGATCCTCTATATCTTTTGTTGGACTACATCTTCTATGAGCAATTGGGCTGACTATGCTGGCAAAGGCAGATATTCTGAAGCTAAACAACATCTGGTGTGAAACACATTCTCTCACTTTTGTGATAGATTAATTAACTACTCCTGGAGTCCTCTTGGTAGTTATGAATGTGTAACCACCATAGTTATATGTCTATGCAGGGGCTCACAGACCAATTCCATCTCCCAATTCCCTCTTACTAGGAAGCAGCTGCTGCAACAAACAGAGATTTGTTCCCCATCATTCGGGAAGCAACTGGCTGACATTTCTATCCCCTCTCATGAGTGATCTAGAGGTCTTTCCACACAGCCCTATATCCCAGAATATCAAGGCAGAAACTCTCACATTATCTAAGTGTGGACTCAGATATTGTGGGATTTTCTGCCATGATATTCTGGGACATAGGGATATGTGGAAGGGTCCTGTATTGCAAATGTAGAAGCAAGATCCCTGATGCAATTCCCTCTTGCACAAGAAATTGCTCATATAAGTAGAGGGCCGCTGTCTGAGTGACAGAGGAACAAACCCTGTCAATGACAGTCTGCTTCCTGGTTAAGTGAGAATTGGGAGGGTTTCATAGTTGCTACATATACATGGCGATCATGAATAGCAGTTATTAATGTGTGACTTTAGGTTACACATTCATAACTCCCTCAATAGGATTCCAACCATCAACTGGGAGTTATTTATTTAGTGATGACTAATATTAATCCCTGAAGGTGTATGCCTTAGAAATAAATAAAACTAGCAAGGCATTTTGAGAACCAGGAACACAGAACATCCAAAGTAGCAATTTCTTTCTAAAGAATGGCAACTTGGGGATATTAAACTGCAAATGTGTGCTTCCTTTGGTAACATTTATTTGAAAAGACTGGACAGATGCTTGGATGAGTGGGAATGAGATTGGATGAAGGAGGAGAGGGTGGAAATATTAAGGGAAGAAGGAGTGGCAGAGAGGAATTGTGAGCACATGAACTGAGGGAAGAACGGATAGGGAAAAATAAAAGAGAGAGCAGAATGCAGACAGAGAGAAGGAATTATTGAGTCAAGTGCAAATGAAAGCACACCATGGAGATGAGCCTCACCAGAACTCGAGAAAGTTTTTGGCCCAGAATTGCCCAGCAAGGTAGGGGATTGTGGGAGTTGTAGTTCTAAAAACTTACTTTCCAACCTCCAGCTGTACCTACCCTCCTTCCATGTCTGACCCTTATCTCCCCATCCCTTCTAACCCCTTTCGTTCTTGTAAGCTCCTTGTTTCCTCTTGTAGCTCATGGAAACTGGGGCAGCTGGGGAAACTGGGAGGCATGCCAAGCCACCTGCGCCCAAGAAGGTTCAAGCCAAAAGCCCCAGCAACAACGACGGCGTCTATGCAACAACCCTTTCCCTTCCACAATGCCACCTGGCAACCCATGCCCAGGAAGTGACCAAGACCAACAGGACTGTGTGGGACTTCCCTTCTGTCCACGTAAGTTCACCACTCCGTTGAACCACCATTGCCTTTTTCTCACTTGGTGATGATGTGCACCTTTGGTTACACCAGGCTCTGAGTGGGCCTGGCATTCTTGCACAGTTTACATTAATTCTCTTTTTCTCCTCCTTGCTTTGTATTTCCCTGCAGGGGATGGCAACTGGGGGGCTTGGCAACCTTCCAGTCCCTGCTCAGTGACTTGCGGGATTGGTCGAGTGGTGGAGAACCGTCAGTGCAACAACCCTGCACCAAAGTACGGAGGAAGGAACTGCCCTGGTCAAGACACCCGCAATCACATCTGCAACACAGGAGTGCCCTGTCCTGGTGAGGTGGGATGAGTTCAAGGAGGCTGGGTGCTTTTGTACATTTGCAGAGAGAGGAATTCACATGATGAGCAGAGATAACTTTTGCTTTTAGGTCGCCCACGAACCAAAATTCTCTGGTGAAGTACAATCTCAAAATATGGATTTCGTTGTATTGTCGAAGGATTTCATTGTTGTGTGCCTTCATGTCATTGATCGAGACCTAAACATAACACTATCATGAGGTTTTCTGGGCTGAGAGTGTGTGACTCACCCAGAGTCACCCAGTGGGTTTTTATGGATGAGAAGGGTTTTGAACCAGCATCATAGTCCAACACTGAACCCGCTATGCCAAGTTATAAAACAATGGCCAAAGAAGCATAATATAAAATGAAAACTGGCACCAGAGAGTAAAGCATTTCAGCATATAAACAAATCAAATTAAAACCAGCAGCAGGACAAACGTGCTGAGATCAAAAAGCAATAAAACTGCTCTTTAAGGCCCCTTCCACACAACTGAATAAAATCTCACATTATCACTTTTGAACTGGAATATATGGCAGTGTGGATTCAGATAACCTGGGGCCCATCCGGACAGTACCTTTATCCCAGGAGCTTCCTCAGCAAACAGGAGGATGGCCAGATGCTGTTCCCTGTCAACGCGGAAGCAATTGCTACAAAAGTAAAAAATCGTGAAATTTCCAGGTGCGAGAATATCCCGGTTCTGAGCTGAATAACTTCATCTTTGCATGTCTGTATGCCCCTGCAATCTGAAATCACACGATTTTTTATATGGGTTTGTTCCCAGGTTTTAGATGTTTGTTCCTGATTAGTTGGTTCCTAAAAAGAAGGTGACACTTGAGTAGAAGACAAAATCTTTGTGTGCAAGAAACTTCATGAAATGTGTGGAGGGCACATTTTTTCTGGCCAGGTCAAAGTTGTGGCCTCCTAGTCAATGTTGTACATCTTTTCACAAGAAGAGCAATCAGGAACAGCCATGTTTAACCCAGGAACAGCACCCTGTTGTTTGATGCCACAAATACACATCCAAATCTGTCTGGACAGATGGTCAGACAAAGTTATGTTCCTGGCTTAAAAGTGTGTGTTCCTGTTTCATTATGTAGTGCTGACATGGACAGAAGTAGTCCTACCCCATGAACTTTGTTTGTGTGCTAGACACTTTATGAAATGTATGGAGGGCACAGTTTCTCTGGCCTGCACATAGAACGGAACTTTAGTGATGATCCGCATAACCAAATCTCCGCATATCCGCATCTTGTGGGTTTTAAAAAACTGCCAGTTTCCAGTGAAAGTCCTGCAGTGGCAATCTTGGGAGCCTCTAAATCTCGGTACAAAGCATCAAGTCTGGAGAACGGAGGCAGAAATCCTGGGACCGACAGGTCTGTAGGTGGACCTCTCCTGAAGTTCTGGGATTTTTGCCCCTCACTAAAACCCGTGATTTAGTGCTGTCTGGAAGCGCCCCCAGTTCAAAACAGATATTCTGGTCTTTTCTGCCATGATATTCTGGGCCATAGGGCTGTGTGAAAGGGCCCTAGAAGAAAAAGAGAAGGAAAAGGTGTTCCTTTATTTAGGCTGCAGGTGGGTCTCTCTGGGGAGACCATTCCCAAGAGAAGGTGATGCCATTCAGTAGGCTCTGGTCCTTACTTTTATTTGCAGGGATCTGGAACCAGTGTGGTATAATGTTAGACTGTTGAAGTCCAGGAAACATGGCTGCATAAACAGTTGTAGCCAATGCTGCCATGGAACCATCTAAACTGTTTACATGAGCCCAAAGTCATTTTTTTTGCTCCAGATGCTGTAGGAGAATTCAGAACAACCCACAACTTTAGTTAATGTGGTTCAAGGCAGCATTAAGCAGCTTTGACAAGCATTAACCTGAATCATCTACATGCATTGGATTGATCTGTTTCACTGGTCCTTTGCACTGAGGTGGCCCCTCAGGCCCTTTCTACACTGCCATATAATCCAGATTATCAAAGCAGATAATCCACATTATCTGCTTTGAACTATTAGAGTCTACACTGTCATATAATCCAGTTTTAAGCAGATAATCTGGACTTTATATTGCAATGTAGAAGGAACCAATGTCTTCTCCAGGCTAAATATACAAAGTTCACTATGCCATTCTTCACAGGGTTTGGATCCCAGGATTGATTGCTCCCATTGAGATTAAGGTTGATGGTTTAATAAACCAGGGTAGATTGCACTCTTTACTCAGGAAGACTAGGCTCTGCCTATTTCTTTCCCCCTATTCTGACCAACTTTTTTTACTCACTCTACACAGTGGATGGGCAATGGACAGAGTGGAGCGAATGGTCCAAATGTGAACGGCTTGGGGCAACTTTCAAGATCAATTGTGAAGATATCGATGGAACCCAGTCACGGACCCGAGTATGCTCTGGAAGAGCACATGATGGCAAACGCTGTGTAGGAGATCGGATTGACATGAGATCCTGCTATGATATCGACCGTTGCCTCAGTAAGTCCTGAGAGCTAGTGATTTTGGTGTGTGTATGTGCTCGTAATTGTCATGCTCAAGGATGTTAGAAATGCCATGCTCAAGGATATTAGAAGCCAGCTGAGCCTGGGAGTTTTGGCAACAGTTACATGTTTCAGTCTTGAGCTGTGCACGGGCTTGTAGAGACAGTGATTTGATTCTGAGCTGCTGGAAGAAAGTCCCTCATATGGTCATCTAAGGATCTCTCTAAAAGGACATTGTGTGAGTCAATGCAACTGTTCAAATGACTGTAATTATGTTGTTCTGCATTACAAAGAGTAAGCTTCTTGTTCTTTATTGATAATCTGCATGGCATACCTTTTCTCTGTCAAGACAGTGTGTGGACTGGTCAAACGTGAACTACGCATGATTTTCATTTTGTCACAAGTGTGAATGTTGCAATTGGCCACCTTGCAGCTTCCAAGACTGGCTGTTTATGTAAAACTGGTTGTATATAAACCTCACTTGCCTAGTGTCTAACAGACCTCACAGCTTCTGGGGATGCCTGTCATAGATGTGGGCAAAATGTCAGGAGAGAATGCTTCTGGAACATGGCCGTACAACCAGAAAACTCACAGCAACCCAGTGACTATCTTCCCTATCTTCAAGAAGGGAAAAAAGGACGACACAAACAATTATCGCTCGGTCAGCCTCATCTCGATACCAGGCAAGATTCTGGAAAAGATCGTTAAGGAAGTGGTCTGTAAACAATTAGAAATGAATGCGGTCATCGCTAATAGTCAACACAGATTTATCAAAAACAAGTCATGCCAGACTAGTCTGGCCTAGGCAAAACTACGGTTAGGTGGATCTGTAATTGGTTAAATGGACGAACCCAGAGGGTGCTCACTAATGCCTCCTCTTCATCCTGGAAAGAAGTGACGAGCGGAGTGCCACAAGCAGGGTTCCGTCCTGGGCCCGGTCCTGTTCCACATCTTTATTAATGACTTAGAGTAAGGGTTAAAAGGCATGATCATCAAGTTTGCAGACAACACCAAATTGGGAGGGATAGCCAATACTCCAGAAGACAAAAGCAGGATTCAAAATGATCTTGACAGATTAGAGAGATGCGTTAAAACTAACAAAATGAAGTTCAATGGGGATAAATGCAAAATACCCACTTAGGCAGAAAAAATGAAATTCAAAGATACAGAATGAAGGATGCATGGCTCGATAGCAGTACGTGTGAAAAAGATCTTGGAGTCCTTGTGCACAACTAGTTAAACATGAACCAATAATGTGATGCTGCAGCTAAAAAAACCAATGGGATTTTGGCCTGCATCAATAGGAGCATAGTGTCTATATCTAGGGAAGTTATACTACCCCTCTATTCTGCCTTGGTTAGACCACACCTGGAATACTGTGTCCAATTCTGGGCACCACAATTGAAAAGACATACTGACAAGCTGTAATGTGTCCAGAGGAGGGCGACGAAAATGATCCAGGGTCTGGAGAACAAGCCCTATGAGAGCTGAGCATGTTTAGCCTGCAGAAGAGAAGACTGAGGGGAACACGATAGCCATGTATAAATATGTGAAGGGAAGTCATGGGGAGGAGGGAGCAAGTTTGTTTTCTGCTGCCCTGGAGACTAAGACATGAAACAATGGCTACAAGAAAGGAGATTCCACCTGAACATTACGAAGAATTTCCTGTGAGAGCTGTTCAGCAGTGGAACTCTCTGCTGCAGAGTATTGTGGAGGCTCCTTCTTTGGAGGATTTTAAACAGAGGCTGCATGACCATCTGTCAGGGGTGCTTTGAATGCAATTTTCCTGCTTCTTGGCAGGGGGTTGGACTGGATGGCCCATGAGGTCTCTTCCAACTCTATGATTCTATGACTGTATATACATATGGAATGAAACCATCATGTCAGGCATGCACTGCTTAAGTAAACACATGCATTTTGCAACTCCTAGAGATCACTGGAAGACTTCCAAAACACACCCAGTCTGCATGTTTCTCATGATTTCCATTTTGGTGGTCAGATGTCTGTGTATCTTCAAGCCACCTGTCAACTTATGGTGAAGCCATGAAAATCTTAGGGCTTTCCTAGCATGTACGGACACTGTAATGTCTGAATAAGAATTTGAATTCAGGATTTGCCAGTACTAATTCTCATCCAGCGTGAACTGTTTTAGTTGCGAAATTCTGACAATCTTCCAAATTCAACTCTAATTATTGCATCACAAGGCCGGGGTGGGGAATTTAACAGTGCACTTACAGCGTATAATTAATACAGTTTGATATGGCTCAAGGCTATGGAATCATAGTATTTGAAGTCTCACAAAGTCTGCAGCATACTTTTTGATCAGAGAGTGTTGGTGTCTCACCAAACTACAGCTTCTATGATTCCTAAACCTTTTTTTTTGTCGTGTCAGGAGTGACTTGAGAAACTGCAAGTTTCTTTTGGTGTGAGAGAATTGGCGGTCTGCAAGGACGTTGCCCAGGGGACGCCCGGATGTTTTGATGTTTTATCATCCTTGTGGGAGGATTCTCTCATGTCCCATGATGAGCTGGAGCTGATAGAGGGAGCTCATCCGTGCTCTCCCTGGATTCGAACCTGCGACCTGTCAGTCTTCAGTCCCACTGCACCATTCCATAACCTGAGCCATGACAGTTAAAGTGCTTTCAAACTGAATTGAATCTAAACTATAGATGCAAAGTATGAAGATGCTTGGTTTGACTTGAATGGCTTTTTCTTTCAGTGAATGGAGCGTGGTCAGACTGGAGTTCCTGGGGCCTCTGTGAACCTGCATGTGGGCCGAACCCTTTGAGAACCCGTGTGAGGGAGTGCAAGCCCATCTATGGTGAAAAATATCCGTGAGTCTGAAGTGAGGGAAAGGGTGAGGCTGGAGGGGCGAGAGAGGTATAAGGATTGATTTCATTCAAGGGGCTCATTCCTGTTTCTGCTGTTTTGCCATTTTCTCACCTCTCTCCACCATCTACTGAAGCGGAATTAGAGCATATAACTATGCTTTAGATCAGGGGTCCTCAAACTTTTAAAATAGAGGGACATGTCACAGTCTCTCAAACTGTTGAAGGGCCGGATTATAATTTGAAAAAAACATGAATGAATTCCTATGCACACTGCACATATCTTATTTGTAGTGCAAAAAAACACTTAAAAACAATACAATAATTAAAATGAAGAACAATTTTTAACAAATATAAACTTATTAGTATTTCAATGGGAAGTGTGGGCCTGCTTTTGGCTGATGAGATAGGATTGTTGTTGTTCTGGTCTTTCAAGTCGTTTCAGACTTAGGTTGACCCTGAGCGAGGGCCGGGTAAATGACCTTGGAGGGCTGTATCTGGCCCCCGGGCCTTAGTTTGAGGACCCCTGCTTTAGATAAAATAGAGGCCCAGTCAAACTGCACTCTCACACTATTAAAGAGGTATTTGCCATATTTACAAATCTCTGCTTTCTTCAAGTAGTGAGTTAGTTAACTTCTGTAAATGATATTTCCCCTTTTCTCACCCTTTTGGCTAGACCTACAGTGCTATACGATGCAGTTTGAATTGCATTACATGGGACCTCATCACACTAGAGAATGAATCCACTTTAAATCTAGTTTCTTCCTCCTGTAGAATTCTGGGGTTTGTAGTTTAGGGAGGAGCCTTTAACAGCCTCACTAAACTACAAACCCCAGAATTCTGCAGGAGGAAGAAACTAGATTTAAAGTGGATTCATTCTCTAGTGTGATGAAGCAGATGGTCAGTATAGACCCATAATGCAGTTCAGTGCAATTCAGACTGCATAGATGCAGTTCAAACTGCATCATATGGCAGTGTAGATCCAGCCCTAGACCTAAGTGACTCTTTAGAGAACCCACCAAACTATTACACTACATAACAAAATTTGAAAAAAAAACCCTGTTCTTGGTTTGAAAGTGTCATTCCTGTTTAATTGTGTGGCACTTCCTATGGAAAGTAATTGTTATACTCAAGAAACTTCATTTTGTGGCTGCCATAATCTAATTGAATTGTTTTCCAACTATTGAAAAACTATAGCAAAATATGCTGCAGGATCTCCCACAAAAAAACAAAGTTTTTGCAGTTAGAATCATAGAATCATAGAGTTGGAAGAGACCTCATGGGTCATCTAGTCCAACCCCTGCCAAGAAGCAGGAATATTGCATTCAAAGCACCCCTGACAGATGGCCATCCAGCCTCTGTTTAAAAACTTCCAAAGACGGAACCTCCACCACACTCCGAGGCAGAGAGTTCCACTGCTGAACAGCTCTCACAGTCAGGAAGTTCTTCTTCATGTTCAGATGGAATCTCCTTTAATAAACCTTCCCCATGTTTTTATGACATTTATAACCCAGTAATAAAAGTTGTGTAATAAGTCATTGGCCTTTGGCAAATAGATAACTTTGCTTTTTAAATAGTTACATGGCAAAAATATATGATGGGGAGGTGCAGCTACACTTTAGAATGAATGCAGTTTGACACCACTTTAACTGCCATGGCTTAATGCTGAGACATCATGGGAGTTGTAGTTTCACAAGGCCTTTAGCCTTATCTGCCAAAGGATGCTGGTGCCTCACCACACTACAACTCCCAGAAGCATTGTGCCATAGCAGTTAAAGTGGTGCCAAATTGCTTAATTGCACAGTGCACGCACACCTAAGTTATGTTTTCAATATTGCACCAATGAAAAAGAAATCAATTAATGTCTCTAGTTATTTGTAATGACATATGAAGAGAATATATGAGTTAATCAGAAGGGATGGCAACAGTACACAGCTTTTCTCATGCTTTGGTGACATTGTGGTCTCCATTAATTGTTAGTGCTGCAAGAATCCCATCCTTTCCTTTCTACGGATAATGATGTTGACACCCTGAGCTAGTTTGCCATTTCTCAGGTATAATGGAGGAAGTTATATACTATATAACACAATTTTTGTTCCTGGGTTATAAATGTCGTTTCCTAATTATTTCTATCATAAAAAACACATAAAAAGTCTATTAAACTACAAAATTTATAATATTATAATGTAATGCAATATAATAATAATAATAATTAATAATAATAATATGATTATAATTATATATTTATATTACATGCAATATTACTAATAATATTATGATATAGTGGTATGGTACAATATAGCAATGTTTAATGCTAATAATATAATATATTGTATGTAATATATACCTTGTAAGCCACTCTGAGTCCCCTTCGGGGTGAGAAGGGCAGCATATAAATGTCGTAAATAAATAAATAAATAAATAATTTAAAAAACTTGTCATAGATATATTATTTATCATTGGAAAATAACACAGTCTTCAGAATTTTTTGTTTTTCTGGAAAACCATGGCTTTGGGGAAAAAAATGAAAAAAACTTGTTTTCCCCTCAAATTTTCTGAGTTTTTTTTTCCCAGGCTTTCCCATTTCTAGTCGCCACTTCCGCTGCCATGGCTCAAGTATGCAATCATGGGAGTTTTAGCCTTCTTTGCCAAGTGCAACTCCCCGGATTCCATAGCATGAGCCATGATCATTAAAGCAGTGTCAAACTGCATTCATCCCACAGTGTAGATGTACTCATAATCCTGTTGCCAATTGAGTTGCAACCCATAGAGTTATTTGTAGAAGTTAGAATCTGCTAAAATGCTTTAAATCAGAGAGAGAGAGATAGATACCCATAACAATCATTGTTATGGGTATCTATATCTATACTAAGATCTATATCTGTACTAATATCAGTTTAACTTTAAAGATACATTAAGATGTCATTGGACTGGGATTCCTGTCAGCCCTAGTTGGAATGGCCAGTGGTAGATGGGAGATGCAGTTCATGATGATCTGGTAGGCCACATATTCCCTACCTTTGGTGCAGTGTTCCCAATGTTTGGTCCTCCAGGTGTTTTGGACTTCAGCTCCTACAATTTCTAACAGCTGTAAGCTGGCTGGGATTTCTGGGAGTTGAAGTCCAAAACATCTGGAGGACCAAAGGTTGGGAACCACTGGGTTAGGGGGTGAGGAGAGGCAATGGTGTCTGGGGCCAAGGCTGTGTGTGTGTTCCTTGATCATCATCTGATGTCTTCAGCAGCAACAGAAGACAAGGCATTGTTTTCAGTAGTGACGAAGTGCTCAACCTTGGTTCATCTCATTTTCCCAGGCAATTAAATATCATGGGCTGCCCCTGTGGATTCTCCTTCATGATGTGAGGGTGAGGGAGTCTGGTGCTCTCTAACTAGGTTTGCCATGCTGAAGATGGTTGGTTGCCAAACTGGAGAAAAAGGAAACGAAGGGTGTACCACCCAAGACAGTGAGATCTTTTTTTCTGATCATTTCCCCTTTGGATTGCAGAGAACAAGTGGAAGGCCAGAATGGACAGATGCAAGATGTGAACTTTTGGGGGAAACCATTCGCCAAGTGCGACCTCCTGGATGGGCAGAGGCTGAAGGTGGAACAGAAAATTCCCTGTCAAAATGTGCCACATTGTTAAGGTGAGGGTGGTTCTCTCTGTGGAAGAGGAAAGCTTTGTACACGCACATCTGGAGTATGTGCATATTTGTGTGCACGAGGAAGGACATAGAAAGACCAAGCCAAGAAAGGCAATTTTGGGAAGTACCTTAAAGAAGTGAGCACGGCAGGACCGACAGGTCAGAGGTTTGAATTCAGAGATGAGCTCCCCCTGTCAGCTCCAGCTCCCCATGTGGTGACATGATAGAAGTCTCCCACAAGAATAGTAAAACATCAAAACATCCAGGTGTCCCCTGGGCAATGTCCTTGCAGATGGCCAATTCTCTCACACCAGAAGCAACTTGCAGTTTCTCAAATAATTCCTGACACAAAAAAAGTTTGCCATTTTTGTTATACTTTGGAAACTTCCCTGAGTCACTTCTGGGAGAGAGGGTGGGTTATAAATAAAGTACATTATTATTATTATTATTATTATTATTATTATTATTATTATTATTATGAATGCCTGCAGCAACACAGCCACCTGATCTGGGGTGAGGAGTGTTTGAAAAGTGTACAGATCCTCTTCCTCTGAATAGGAACTAGAAAAGATACTTCTTATATCCTTCACTTATTTTATTGCACCTTATTACTCTACCTTTCCCCACTCTCTTCTTCAGACTGATTTTGTGGAAGCAAACGGAATGAATTCCAACTCTGGATACCACCACAGATTGGGACATGGGAAGCTGAAGACTACATTAACCTCAAGAACTTTTCTGAATCTCCTGGACCGACCACCACTTCTTTCCTTTCTTCCCTCACCCCAAACCTTGAGAATAACCAGTTCAAAGTTATGTTTTTCTTTTCTTCCTTGGTTTCTATACAAACTATCATGAATTTGCAAACTTTTAACATTCTTTATAGCCTATTTTCTTACTTCTAGAATTTGTTGTATTATTGTTGATTGTTATTTTTGAAAAATAAAAAATGTATAGTATATCAAGCCAATGTGTCCTTGCAAGTAAAGCCTACATTTTTGGTTTCGCAGTAAAAACAAATGTACCCTCCTTTTCACATGAGGTTTGAAAAGCAGACAGATTTCCCAAATAATAGCTAGTTTGTCATCTCCCCCACCCCAAAAAGAAGTATGCAAAAGAAGCTTGTAAAAAGCACAAAAACCTAAAGCAGCTCCTGTCCTTGAAACTCCTCTAAAAGTTAGCTTAACCTTACTTACTTACTTACTTACTTACTTACTTACTTACTTACTTACTTAGGCGATCCCTCGTTGGCCGAGTAGGATCAGCATTCTGGTGAGTCCATAGGTGACTGTGGAGCCCAGGCCCGTAGCCAGGATTTCGTTTCGGGGGGGGGGGGGGGGGGCTGAATTTTTTTTCAGGGGGTTTCGGGGGGGCTGAGTTTCGGGGGGGGGGACTGAGTCTGAGTGAAAGAGGGTCTAGCCTAGCAAACCTTTTGTATCATTACCCCAATACCCCCATGCAAATGGGATATATTGAGTATGGTGATCAGATCATGATATGAATAAACATAACAGTTTAAATAATGCACTAATAAGGCCTTTTCGCGAACCACCATGAAAATTTCGGGGGGGGGCTGAAGCCCCCCGAGCCCCCCCCCCCTGGCTACATGCCTGGTGGAGCCCTATTCTTGATCTACATCTTCTCCCACAGTGAGGTCATTGGTTTCCAGGTGGAAGGCCTCGGTCAGGGTTGGCTTGACACGCCTTCCTCTTGGCATTTCTCTCTTTCACCCTCCATTCATGCCTCTTCAAATTCTGCAGCACTGCGGGTCACAGCTGACCTCCAGCTGGAGTGCTCAAGGGCCAGGGCTTCCCAGTTCTCAGTGTCTATGCCAGAGTTTTTAAGGTTGGCTTTGAGCCCATCTTTAAATCTCTTTTCACATTCCGTTTTCTGTTCTTGAGTTCGGAGTAGAGCAACTGCTTTGGGAGATGGTGGTCGGGCATCCGGACAATGTGGCCGGTCCAGCGGAGTTGATGGCGGAGGACCATCGCTTCAATGCTGGTGGTCTTTGCTTCTTCCAGCATGCTGACATTTGTCCGCCTGTCTTCCCAAAAGATTTGCAGGATTTTCTGGAGGCAGCGCTGATGGAATCGTTCCAGGAGTTGCATGTGACGTCTGTAGATAGTCCACGTCTCACAGGCATATAGCAGGATTGGGAGGACAATAGCTTTATAAACAAGCACCTTGGTATCCCTACGGAGGTTAACCTTACATGCAAATGTTATAGGATGCTATTAAAAATTTCAGCTGTTTCACTTTTTAAACAGAAGAACATTTGTCTGAACAAACCAAACTGAGTTCAATTTAGGGGTGTGAGTAGAAGGCCTTTCACATTGTACATTTATATCACTACTAGCTTGGGTACCCAGCGTTGCCTGGGTTATTAGAAGAAGTCATTTTTTATTTTACAGAATGCATAAGGTTGTGTGTGTACTCCAACTCACATCATGCCAGATTAACCCCCTGAAACTCTATCAATATTTAAAGTTTGTCAAGTTGGGCAAATTTGCTTTTGATGCATCATCGGTGGGGTTCAGTATGCTCTCCAGCTGTAGGATGAATTACAACTCCCACTATGGTGGGCCAGTCCCACCAATCCCTCCAGTATGTTCAGTTGGTCATGTGGGTTCTGTGTGCCAAGTTAGGTCCAGGTCCATCATCGGTGGGGTTCAGAGTGCTCTTTGATTGCAGGTGAACTATAAATCCCAGTATCTACAACTTACAAATGTCAAGGCCAATTCCACCCCAAATCCAGTATTTAAATTTGGACATATCGGGTATGCATGCCAAATTTGGTTCAGATCTATTATTGTTTGTGTTCACAGTGCCCTCTGGATGTAGGTGAACTATAATTCCTATAAATAGAGGTGAATTTTCCCCAAAGCCCTCCTGCATTTTTTGCTGGTCATGGGGGTTCTGTGTGCTAAGTTGGGTCCAGGGCCATTGTTGGTGGGTCTAGAGTGCTCTTTGATTGCAGGTGAATTATACATCCCAGTACCTACAATGACTATAAATCAAGGTGAATTACCCCCAAACCTCTCTATTGTTTTTTGTTATTGGGGTTCTGTGTGCCAAATGTGGTCCAGGTCCATTGTTAGTGGGAGTCAAGTGCTCTGATGTGATGCAGGGTGAACTACAACTTCCATCGAGCAGAGTCAATCCTCCAAACTCCTCCAGTATGTTTAGTTGCTGCTCAGTTCTGCTCTGTTTATTATCCACTCAGAGTAGAAAAGGGTTAAGGGAGAGGCAGTGAGCAAGATCATGCAAATTCCACACCAATTGAGAGAGTAAGAAACACCGGGATGTTTGTGGTGGAGGAAACACGTAAAATTTAGGCTGAAATTGTCCCCAAATGAAAACACTCCTTGGATAGTGGGTTGTAGTTTTTGGGGAGGATATTGGCTACATGTTTATGGCGCTCACTATAACCTGAAATGTCATTGGATGGAGGGCTTTTTGGTGGCTCCTCAGCACTGTGGGTTAAAGCTGTTGGTGAAAGTTGTGAGAATTTGAAAAAGGACGCCATGATATGGTGGGTTAACTGGAGAGGCTATGTGTCAGCAGCTGATTGTCTGAGCATGCCAGGAGCCAGTCCTAATTGGCTGCTGCCTCTGGCTTGCTGCCGAGACCAACAGTTCTAACTGTCATTCTCACCTTTGGACAGGGAAGAGTTTGCTGGTTGCCAACTACCTTGACAACTGATCATTTTAAGGCATGAGGCTTATTTTAAACACTTTTTAAAAGGACTATTTTATTCTCTCTGTTCTCTGCCTGAATTCAAAGAGACTGATGTATATATACTGTTGCCCTGTTTTAACTTTTCACAAGCCTGAGTAATAGTTTATTATACAGCAGGGTATATCTTGGTTTAAATACTGTGGTAAAGCTTTTGCTTATGTTTATTTACATTTATCAGTCCTCACAGAAGTGGGCACCCCAGCCACACATGCACATACATATTGTATATAGATATATGGATAGATGATTTCACTTTAATTGTCATGGTTAGATTCCATTAAATTTTGGTATATGTAGTCCCAGGTCCCATCTCCACTGCCATTTTATGAAGTTTCATAATGCAGATTAACTGCATTGAATTGGATTATATGGAAGTGTAGACTCATAGAATCCAGTTCAGTCTGCATTATATGAATATACACTGACCATTATAAGGCAGTTCAAGCTGCATTATATGGCAGTGTAGATGGGGCCTGAGACAGCTCTCTTGGTGCTTTGTTGTCTGGAAATACACCAACGTGGCTCAGCCAAATGTATCTTACTTTTCATTTCTGAAATGCTGGAGGGTTTGTAATGTCTCATTTAGAGCAGAACAAAAAGGCAGAGATCTGAGGAGGCTGAAATAAATGGGATCACTTCAGTCATTCAGACTACAGATCAAGAGGCCATATTATCTAAACAACTCTCCTCAAGCAGAAAACAGCAGGGGATAATAATTTGGATTAGAACTTGGCTGTCTCTCTATCCTGAGTATTGACTTATGGACAGTTTTTACATGGAGAACATTAAAAAGGATCCTCCCGAGTTCCCCCTTTCAGACCACGGATAAAATAAACGCAGCCCCATTGGATGCCCCAGGGCAAGTCTCACACTCTGAGCCCCAGAAAACCCTGTAATGGGTTCCCCTTAGGGTTGCCATAATTCAGAAACCACTGAAAGACACATAGCAATAAATCCACTCATTGTGCTCAAGATTCAATGCGTTCCTTTTGCTGCATATGGAACATCACTTTGGGGGAGATGAAAGGAGGAAAGATGAAAGCAGATGATTTCACCCACCACCTTTACAGAAGAAGCTCCCATCATGGTCTGGTTTGAAGAGGAATTAAATTACTTTGCTCACTCCTTCAGAAAAGCAAAAATTAGATATATTTCCTCAGGTGCATTTTAGACCCAGAATTAGACTCTTGAGTAAATAAACTTCCCCAATCTGCTTTCTAACACTGCATTGAATGTAACTCCCATCATCCTCAAGGCTGACTGAGCCATTGCAGCAGAACTGGCATCCATTTGGCCTTTCAAGCTAAGGAGATCCAATACTTGTTGCCAAACATGAGCAGATTCTGTTCCTTTGAGCTCTTTCAAAGAGCCCCCAGTGGCGCAGTGGGTTAAAGCACTGTGCCGGCAGGACTGAAGACCGACAGGTCGCAGGTTCGAATCCAGGGAGAGGCGGATGAGCTCCTTCTATTAGCTCCAGCTCTTCATGTGGGGACATGAGAGAAGCCTCCCACAAGGATGATAAAACATCAAAAGTCATCCAGGCATCCCCTGGGCAACGTCCTTGCAGACGGCCAATTCTCTCACAACAGGAGCGGTTCCTCCTGACACGACAAAAGAAAAAAAAACTCTTTCAAAATATTCTGCCCTCAAGGAATAGTTGGAACAAATCCCAACACTCAAACACAGTATGATGCTACTTTATTGGCATGTGTGAATTACAAACAGAAAATGTGTGTACAGAAAAAGCTCCTCATTCAGGAACAAATCCTACAGCACAGAAGGACTCAAAATGTTGTCTTGATCCTCTGTGACCACATGTTCCTCCTCCACCTTTTCCTGTTGCAGAGGTTCTGTTGCAGAGGTTGCATGCTTAGGACGTGGCTACGGTTTCCCCTTTCTTGCATTTCCTTGGAAATCTCTTCATGCTTCTGCAGCAAGAGACTAAAAATTAGGAGGTGTCTCAGTTGTCCTTTCAGTTCTGTTGCCTTTCATTTCTCCATTTCAATAGCAAGCAGCCTTTGCCATCTTTTTGTATTCAGTGGGAGCCTGCTTTATTTCATTTCATTTTATCTCACTGCAGAGCAGTATCAACTAACAGAACCATTGTATTGTCGAAAGCTTTCATGGCCGGAATCACTGGGTTGTTGTAGGTTTTTCGGGCTGCCATAGATGCAGGCAAACATCAGAAGAGAATGCTTCTAGAACATGGCCATATAGCCTGAAAAAC